GCAGTGTTTTGCTGAGGGGAATCCTGACTGTCTCGCGTGCTGGTGTGCACAACAGAGGGGGATGCTGGCTGAGGATACTCTGTCTCTCTGACTGCATTGCTGTGTGGCATCTGGGATGAAGCACAGCATCAAGTGCTTGTCCTGTTTCTGGGGACCTGGGCAGTAGTTCCAGGGCACTGTTTGACTGCAAAACATGTTAATGAGGTGTTATGGCAGAGATGGAGCTGCCCACAAATGGGGAGAAAACAATCATGGCCTATCTAGAGAAATCCTTCCTAGGACTTCTGCTGGGAGCAGGAGCTCTGGTTGCCTCCCTTGTCCCAAGGCAGACTGTAGGAGGCAGGGAGGACACCACCAGTGCTCCTTGAAAACACAGTTGGTAGGAACTGGAGGTTTCTTGTGCATCCATGAAGGAGACAGGAGCACATCCTGTATCTAAACTGATCTTTCACTGGATCTGAAAAATAGCATAAATCCAGAAACTGGTTTCCAAACTAATTCCCAGGACCCAGGCAGTGAAGGGACTGTGCTGGGTGCTGCACACCTGAAAACCCCATCAGGCTGATTGTCAAAGGAGCATTTAGATGCAGATGTTGTACCCTTGCCTTTGTCCCAAAGAAACCAGGTTCTTTCCCACCAGCAATGCACACATTGAGTCAGACCATGTTCCACTGCAGAGATCCCTGTTAACCATTCAGTTTACTTCGGCAAACAGGCCAGTAATAATCAGCAATAGAACAGTTTATTTGTTCTTTCTGGATTGTGAACAATGACTCTATTCCCTGGTGGCTCAGCCGGGTTTCCATTACATGAATAACAAAACCTGCTCTCGCATCAGCTCTGTGCCCATGACGCTCTCCAGCCACCTTGTCCTCTACAGCAGACAGAGGTGAGGCTGTGGGGAAAACAACAGCCTGACCCTCAGAGTCCCATGGAGGGCAGGCTGTGTGGTACATCCACCCTTCTTGCACCCTGTACTGTCTATGGCAGTTGTGCAGTCACGTGGGGGTGAGATGTACTTGCCCTAAGATGATGTTTCTGTGGGGTCCTGCCTGGGTACGTGCAGGTCTCTCTCTGCCTCTCCAATGCCTGGTGCTGTCCTGTCCTACCTAGGATTAGCAGAAACCTCAACAAAATCAGGCTTTCAAAGTTAACTAGAAACGGGTGATGTAGTTTACTGTGAGGTGTCCCTGCCCATGGCAGGGGGTTGGAACTGGATGATCTTAGGGTCCTTTCTAACCCTAACTATTCTATGGTTCTATGAAATGGGGCTTGGGTAGAAAGATGCTGAGGGTGAGGCAGCTGAATGTCACATCTCCTTCTTCCTGAGGGTAGAAACCTGGACTTAAGCATGTTTTACATTGCTATTCCAGCTGAAGCCCTTATTATCACCGCAGTGATGCTGGTATCACAAGTATCCCCATTTTAGGGAACAGTACCTGCTACAAACACATTGCAAGGATGTGGCCATCCCTGCCCTGGGATGCTTTGCCAGGATGTGTCAGCCCATTTTGGCATAGCTGTGTCCTTTGAGCCGACGAGGAAGGGAAAAGGGACTGTGCTGCCTGGGGCATTGCATGTGAGTGTCCCCCCTTGCCCCCTCCCCAGCTGATGGAGACGCAGGCTGCAGTGCCAGGCTGAAAGACGTCTGCTGCTAAATCCCTCCTGGCACTGGCCAACTCAATTAACCTCGCTGTGCTCCCGTCTCTTCTCCGGTACCGTGAGATAATGATAGCACTTCATAGGGCTGTGGGAGACTGAAGGACAGTGCCCCAGCCTCCTTCTGCTGGGATGAAAGTCCCAGCACATGCATTGCTCTCCCTCCACCTACAAGCTGGGCTCTGGATGTGCCCACTGTCCTCTGACACAGAGACCCATCCCCAGCTCCTCAGATTGCCTCCCACAGGGGTGCCCATTGCCCTAAGGGTGTGGGAGAAGGGTAGTTCTGACCTCCAGAGCCATAAGCAATGGCTTGCCCGAGTGGTTCCTTTGGGATGGCACAGAGGGTCTTTCCTTGCCTGCTGCCCCGCAGTGCTTGCCCTTGGTGTGAGCATCTCTGTGTCCTCCCCATGGGCTTGTGCATTACAGAGACCTCCTGCAGCCAGAGGAAGCCCTGCCAAATTGAGACAGCACAAGCAGCAGGGAGTGATGCATCTTAGTGTATTCTCTTTAGCAAGCACTTATTCTGTCTGCTCTAAGTCCCATTTTGACCCAATCATCCTCTCTGGGCAAGCTTGTGTTTGGAAATGCTCTGCAGAGACAAAACCAGCCTTTTTCTTGCAGAGGAAGGTTCTTGTCATCCCTCCCTGGGGAGGCTGTGGGTTGCAGCCTGTGTCAGAGGGCATTAGCTAGTGGAGTGGGACCATCCCATGAGTAAACAGCAGAGACAGACCCTCCATGGACCTTTTCAGTCTGATCCCCCATAGCCATCCCATCACCCATGTGCCTCCCTCCTCTAACTGGAGATGCTGGGGATGAAGAAGAGGAATGGTAAATGACTCAAACACGTTCAGTGAGGCTCCTGCTGTGTGTTTTCTCTTCTTCCCTGCACATTGCCTATCAGACGAGTCCTTCCCAACAACAGAAAGGAGAAAAGGCATTTTATCAGCAGCCTGAGTTTAATTTCAGCTCATTAAAGCAGGCAATTTGCTGGTTTATTTGCTTTGCAAAGTGTGAATAAAATGACAGCATTAAGGAGATGTAAGAGAGGAAAGAGGGGCTAATCTCCCTTTTTATTAGATTGCCAGGACATGACTGGGGAGTGGAGAAGTGGGTCTTGTTGCTTTCTGAAGGCATAATTGTTCATCTTGTTGGCTTTTGGAAGCTTCCTTCCAAGCATCATGCCAGTGTTGATGCATGGAGGTGTGTGCCTGTGTGTGTGTGCTGCAACATCAGCCAAGCACCAAGCATCCCACAAGGCAGGACAGGAGCAGGGGCACTTGCAGTCATTCCCAGCTCATCTCCCTCTAACAGCAGATAACAGACATCCACAAGGTTTCTCCTTCTTCCTTTTTCTACCTTTTGCCTTGCCTCTAATCTCACTTTTCTATTCTTTTCTGCTTCTGAAATCACGGCCTTGATTCTTGCAGGTTCGAAGTTGGGCTTGTTCACCCTGGAGAAGAGGAGGCTCTGTGGAGATCTTGTAACAGTCTTCCAATACCTAAATGGAGCCTATGAGAAACCTGGAGAGGGACTTTTACAAGGGCCTGTAGGGACAGGACAAGGGGGAATGGCTTTAAACTGACAGAGGGGAGATTGAGATGAGACATTAGGCAGAAGTCCTTCCCTGTGAGGGTGGTGAGGCACTGGCACAGGGTGCCCAGAGAAGCTGTGGCTGCCCCATCCCTGGCAGTGTTCAAGGCCAGGTTGGACACAGGGGCTTGGAGCAAGCTGCTCTAGAGGAAGGTGTCCCTGCCCGTGGCAGGGGTTGGAACTGGAGGAGCCTTAAGGTCCCTTCCAACCCAAGCTTTTCTGAGTCTATGAAACAGAGCAGCTGGCTGGCCAAGGAACCTTTGCTGTCCCTGACCTCCTGTAGCTGAGACGTGGCTTTGGAGGGCAGGGAAGAGACCACTCTGCCTCTTCCCCACAGGCTGGATAAAAATCAGTATGAAAAGCTTGTGTTTTAACCCTCCTGCCTGACTGGTTTGTCTTTGCCCAGTTGTCCTGATATTATCCTCCTGGTAACCCAGCTGCAAACCACTTTTCCCGGTCCTCTGACACCACAGATCTGCCTGTAGGGAACAAACCACCTACAACTCTAATGTGCAAAACAATGAGGAAAGTGAAGATGTGGGGTTCCTCTTCACTGATTGAGAAGGAAACAAATGAGAGGAATGAAGACAGCATGGAATAACAATAGCAATGATTTGAAATGATGGATTTAATCTCAATCAGAGATATCTTGAACCGGTACTCCAGTATCTGTGCTTTGCCCTACTAATCCTCACCCCTTATTGGTTATGTCCTCCCCTCCTACCCATCCCTGCTTCTCCAGCCCTTGTCCCCATCACAACCCAGCAGCAAAGATGATGTCCACAAGGCTGCAGCCTGCACTGGGTGAGCAGCAGCAACCTCATCCTGGTTGGATGCAGGGGCTCCACAAAGCAGTGTGGACCGGCTGGGAAGTTTTTGCTTCCATCTCCTGACTAATGCCATCTGAGTAAATGAAACCAGAGCAGCAGCTGCAGGGAAGCAAACAAAGCAGCCATGGGGGCTGGGGAAGCAGCGGGAGAGTGCGCTAGCACTCAGTTCCTGACTCTGTTATTCCACTGAATGGGTTATTTCAAACTGTGGGTTACGTTTACCGAGTGAGGGCAAGGAGCTGGACTAACACGTGTGCATGTGCGTATGCGTGCATCCACATGGCAGTGCTCCAACACAACTTCATTGCCCCTAGCTGCTCCATCTCCAGTTCACCATGCCTCAGTTTCTTAGACCCTCTTTCACAGCCACTTAGTCACTAAACAAAGGAGCTCCACTACAAAGAGAGACATAGCAAAACGGGAACAATACATTACAACCGACAAGTGTTTAGTCACCCAAAGAGGTGGGGAGGGAAAATGCATCTAAAGGCACCCAATTTTGAAATGAACCTTGGTTCTTCATTATTCATAAGATAAACCAAGGAGGCAGCTCCAAGATGGCAGAGAAAACATTTACTAGTGATGAAGCCTCCCCTAAATGGCTTGACATCCATCCTGTGCATGTCAGGTGAGGAAAGGAGGCTTGCAGGCAAGTTTTTCTGCTCATTTGTATTCCTGGTGTTCGCTACATGCATCCTGCCGGGTGGTGTTGGTCAGAATCACAACCACGCAGAATAATAAAGATACTCAGGCCTGTAAAACTCGTGTTCATTCTATATCCAAAGGTCCTGGTACAAATACTGCCTTTTCAGCATTTTGGGCACCCCAACCTTATTCCTGCATTAGATAATACGGTTCTCTGGCAAATTCTACTCTCTCCTGCTATTATTTATGCTTTAAGGAAAATAGGCAAGGGAGAAGAGATGTATTTTCCACTGAGGTTTTGAGAGAGATGAAGAAAGAGTGAAGCAGAGAGGTAAAAGGGGGTCTGAGAGAGAAGTGCACAGCACTGCATTTACTGAGACCTCGGGAGGACACAGGATAGGTGACAAGTAGCCAGGCGGGACAGATGGAGGAGATATCACTTTTCTGGGATGGGCTGGGAGAAACAAGCAGAAGTTACGTACTTGGTGTCTATTACTCTTCCTATTACTGGTGTATCAACACTCCTGGGCTCTATATGGTGCTAGCGCCAATGCTTCTCTCCTGGGTTGCTCCTATCAAGGGGAACACAAGTCAACAGAGATCAAGACACTGATGGCTTTTTTGGTGTTCAGACTCTGGCTGCTGGATCATTTTGCAGTCTCTTTGCAGGAGGCATGGGACAGTGTGACCAATGGCCAAATGAACACCAGAAACATATCCGGTTGTCAGGCCCTGAATCCACTGATGACCCTGATCAGCCTCACCTGGGGCCTCCAGCCACAGGCCCAGGAGCTCCATCTAAGCTCAGTGCTGGTGCTCTATTCCTTTCCTGAGCTCTGCTGATGGTGTCCCTGTCCCCAGGTGGTCCTGCCTCCAGGATAGACCTCAGACCTGTGTGGTAGGTGGCTAATCTCTTGGATTGACTCCATGCAATGCAGCTTGTTTCCAGTGCTGCTCCTGGCTCCATCTCCTTTAGCTCCTGAGTGGTCTCCTTGGGTGGACCCTGGATGTGGTTCATCCCTTGTCTTGCCTGAACTGCCAATGGATCCTGTTAGCACCTTGCCTGCTGTGTTCATGTGCCGGGAGACATCACCCTGGGTGGGGAGGGAGCTCCTGCCTTGCCTTCCCTTGAAACAGCCAGCCCTTGCTGCTGCTTGACATGGATTCCCGTAGGAGACAGCTTACTCTGCAGCTGGTTGCATGGGGAATTTTCCAGTAAAACGTTTTTCTGTTGCAAAATGCACTTTCTGCAAAATTAAACCTTTGTCTGAAAAGCAACTGGAAACTGAGATTTGGGCCAGTTTAGCTGTGAACTTGTGGATGCTTGATGGGAGCCCTAATTCAAAGCCCCTGGTGCCTCCACCAGCCAGGCTGAGGACAGCGCTGCAACCTGGGGTGAGCCAAAACAAACCTGTTTGCACAAGAGGTTTTTAAGAACCTGTTTGCTCTATGGCAAAACAAGCTCTGTGTTAAAATGGCCACATTTCCAAGACAGGTTAGCTCTTGGAAATACAGGCATTCTGCTTTACACCCAGCTGCAGTCCAGAGTCATTTACCTCCATCTCATGCTGCTTAGCTCCCAGGGTCTACCGAGATGACAACACTGCTGTGGACCACTGAGCAGAAGTCTCTGCTGAGTTTGAGTAAATGCATAAATGATCTTCCTGGTGAATGTCTTAAACCCAGCTGGGTTACCTGTGCGTTAAACCAGGCCCCTGAAGTATCAGCATGGGCAGATAGGAAATGTCAACTCCAGCCTGTGACAGAGCAGTCGAGCCCTTAACAGAGCCAAGGAGTGCAATTAGAGGGGCAGTTAGAGGGAGGTGAAGAGGAAGAAGATTTTAGGGGATGTGGAGAGCCAAGAGCTCTGATTAGGTACAACAGGAGTAATAAGGAAAGTGTGTTTCCAGGGGAGAAAGCCTCTCTAGTATTTACTTGATGGGGTTCTTCCTTAGGAATAATCAGCCTGAATCACAGCTCCATTATGGGGTGGTTACGCTGGTGTTTGGCTGGGGGAAAGCAGAGGTCTGGTGTGCAAGCAGGACTCCTGTTTTACCCCTGCAAATAGTGCTGAAGATCAAAGCATGTTTTTCCAGCATGGATACAAAGGAGGGAGCCAGCCCCACGCTGGGAAGCAAAGCCACTGGTGCTCCTCAGCACTGACAGTCTGAACCGTGCCTTGTCTCTGCTGCATTGTCATCCTCGCTCAGATCTTTGCTGCTGTTTGGAAGAGGGTTTTACTGCTTTCATTCATTAATTTCTTTTGGCAGGAGGCCCACATAACCCTTTGCAACCCAGGCAGGAAACGTCACTTTTACACAGGGTGAAATCTGGTCATGGATTCATGAGATGCTTCTCAAAGTCGTTTCTAACAGAGCTAGCCAAGCGTTTTGTTCCCTCTTTTATGGTTGTATTCTCAGGACTTTTCCCTCTGTCACACTCTTCTCCTGTGAAGGGATCTCAGACCAGAAAGTCTCTGGCCAGTGCCTACCTCAGTCACAGTGGGTGGATTGTGCTGCTGAGTGTTTAGGAGATGGACAGGAGAATAGGCAGCACATGTAAGGTTTCATGGCAATGGTTGGCTGTGATCTCTGGGTAGGCAAAAAGGGATTCATCTCTTCATCAGCAAGTGTCCTACACACAAGGATTGCCATGCCTTTTTGACTTGTTTGTCTTTGAAGTTGTTCCTGCTCTCTGGTTGGAGAAGGCTTCCAGATGTCTCTTCCAGCCTAAATTATTCGGATTTTAATGTTCTCTGGGGCTGAGGAGCCCGGCTTAAGGCTGAACCTATTGGCTGCACACTTTCTGAAGGGGGCTTCTGCCCAGACATCCCGATACCTGGCAAGCCTCAGTGCCCTCCAGGCCTAATTTTAGCTCAGTGCTGCAGGCTGGTTTCTTGTCATGGGCCAGGAGAAGGTTAATGATCATCTGGGCAGCTCTCCAAAACCTATCTAATGTTTATTCAGGATAACAGCATTGCAGAGGAAAGCAGGCATGACCACCTTCCATGCACAGCTTACCCAGCACTGCCCTGCTCCTGCACACAGCTCTGCTGGAGGAGCTTGGGTTTGTCGGCTCTTGGAGGAGAGACCTTCTCCTTCCTTAGGTCAAGACAGGTCCTGTGCAACACTGACAACCCTGCTTATGCCCTGACACCTTATCCAAAACATATGCTGTGTTTCTGCAGGAAAATACTTTTCAGATGCTGTTTGTTTCAGCAGCAGAAATGTTAAAACCCATGCTACAATCAAATACCTATGCCATAAACACCTTAGCTTGTTGGTCCCCGTGAAGGAACGGCGTTCAGCCCCACTGCACCCTCCAGGTCCTTGCAGTGCTAGGGGAAGCTGAGGGATGTGGGACTGTGGTCCCAGACTGGTGGTGGTGGCTTGGTGGACCTGGATGTTGCAGGTCTGTGCTCAAGATGGGTCTGGGATGAGGTTGAGAGGATGAAGGGTGGATGCAGACTAGCACGTGTGGTTGTGGAAGGATGAGAGATGGCAGTGACTTTACCCTCTGGCAGAGCCCATAAGGTGGTTATGGGTGTTTATTCACCTCAGCTGCTGTTTAAGAGCTTGATTTCAGCCATAAACTCACAGCGTCCCAACAGCGTGGCCTCTGTAGTTGTTCTGCCCTGCCTTTGACATAACATGCATGGACATGATGGACTCATCCCAAGGATACCCTGTGCCTGTAAGGAGGTGGGTGCACTGCTTTCTTTGGGCTCCCCTTGGGGGTCTCAGGGCTCCATGAAGGGTTTGGTTATGGCACATAAAGCCTGAAGTCCTGTGATGTGCTGTGGTGAGAGAATGGCTTCTCCAGCAGTGACTACTCACAGACTCATGGCCAGGAATAGAGCCCTTGCTGCTTCCCTTGGGGTGTGGAAAAACACTGTGCTGATAGCAAAAAGTGTTTTCTGAGATGCCAGTTTCACCATCAACAGACCCAAAATAGCTGGTACTTGCCGGCTTCCCAGGGATGCTCTGAGAGGCATCATGAGAACATCGATTTAGTAGGCTCTCTGGAGAGTGCTGAGGATGTGCTTCCTCCTACCTGAAATGGTTAGGAGATGGCTGAGCAGCCAGATGGCTGTATTTGTGTGGAGCTGTGTTAATGTCTTATTTGATTGTGTTTGCAGCATGGTTAATGTGGCTTCTAGATTCCTGAGCAGGTATTTTTATTATGTTAAACTTAAACAGAGCAAAGATATGGCTTTACTGTGGGCTTGGCTGGTTAAACTGTGTGCCAGGCTGTTTCTCTCAGGGGTAGCTGATTTCCCACTGATACATGCTGGGAATAAGCAGGGCCCATCTTTGTCCATAGAGGATGCTCAACCACAGGTATGAGGGACTGTTGGGTCTTCTCTACGGTGCAGCAAGCTAAAAGCCCAACCCAACTGCCTTCTATCCAAAAAATGTGTGGGTAGAAGCAGAGAAGCTTGGGAAAATGGGTCCTGTACATGTCAAATTCTATCCATGAGAAACTGGTTTTGCATTGATACGTGGCTAATGCCAAACAGCTGGTGGAAAAGCAGGAGCAGGAGCTATTGGTCCATTATCATTGGCTATGGGAAAACTCTTCAATGGGTGGTGAAAAGCAGCAGCAGGAGCTACTGATGTGTTAGTGTGGGCTTGCAGCATGGGACAGCCCTTCCTATGGTTAGGGCTGTGGTCACTCTTAGGGATGCTGCATTTCCTTGCTTGTCCAGACGCCTCCAAAAGAGATGGAGATAAAACTGTGGACCCAAGATAGTAGAAGCAGGAGCTATGGCAGGATTCGGATGGCCTGTCCTTTTCATAAGCATTTCCTATGGAGGTTACCCAAGCTGAAAAAGCAAGCGAGCCCAGAAGACCCACCCTCTCTGGAGGAATGGAGTTTATCGTTAATAATCTTCTGCTGAAAGGGTAACATCTGTTTTGGACCAACTGTAATGAGATTTAAACCCCAGGTGGAGGCAGGACTTCACGGTAATAAACGACTTGCTGTATGGCTAAAGAGTTTTAATTTTTTTCCTGGCAGAAATAGCTGCTTTTCACCTCGGGCTCTTTTTTTTTTTTTCTCTTTTTTTTTTCTTTTTTGCCAGCTCTCTTTTGTGTAATGATTGCTATTAATTTCCAGGGTGGCAGATGGATTCCAGGCTGAAAGGAGGAAAAACAGATCATGAAGGTGTGAGCGCGCTGTGAACGAGTGCACAGGTCACACGTGTGCTGGTGGGATGCCATATGGGGGTGTTTGCTTTCCAGGGGAGCTATTGCTGCTTGGTAGGTGCTTCCCAACCATGGGATGCTTGAGCATCCTTCCCTCAGAGAGGAAGGAGAATTAACTTTCCTGGTCACTGTCACTCTGCCTGCTCAGACCTTGATTCAACAAAGCTGCTTTCAGCAAGGCTTTGGGAGGAATTCAAACCAGCACTTCAGTGCTTTGCTAAACCTGAGCTCAAGTGGGCTGGAGAGCAGCATGTGGTCTGCAGGACATGTGAAGGAGCTCCCTGCCCAAGTCTAGGTGATGCTTATGGCTGGGTACTGCCAGATGATGAGAATTCCTCCTTGGGCATGAAACACAGACACTTCTCAGTGCTTTTCCTGTGTTACTGTGATTCCTTTTTTCTAACATGATGTGGGATGCTCTAAACGGGCAATCTTTCTCCATCCTCTGGCTATGGAGACAAGTGGCTGCTGCTGAACCCAGCACACTCTGCCACAAGCCCCAGTGCCCAAAGGAAGACTTCCTTTATCCTCTCTGCCAGCACCTCCTTCTCAAGGAGAAGCCTACGGAACAGCTAATGCCAATTAGTGCTGCAGTGTGCTGGGATGCCCTTCTTTCTCTTTCCCCTCCTGCTGAGCATGCCTGGCCTTGGCTCAGGATGTAGGTGTGCAGGATACATTGGTGGCCAGGTGAGAAGCTGGGTCCAGGGAATGAAGCTGATGATGGGCCACCACATGGCAGTGCCCAGGTAGGTACCCCAAGACAAAAGTGTGGTGGAGGACAAGGGAAGGAGGTTCTGTTGCCTGGATCTGGGTGAGCCCTGGGGGTGGAGAGAAGGGGTTACAGATAGAAAGTGCAGCATCTCAGGTGATGCAGATAATCTCCCTTAATCTCCCGCTCAAAATAACCCAAAGTCAAGTAAAGGAGGGATTATATGACCTAAGCCACTGTTATCACCAGGGTGTAACAGACTTAGGCTGCATCTGAAGGGCTGCTGAGGAGGAAGAGGAGCTGCAGCAAATATTGGCCTTCTGGAAATGCCTCTCCACTGATAGGGGCTGGTGATGACCTGCCTGAGGAGCCCAAAGAGACTGGGGGCTGCAGGGTATACAGATACCCAGAGCAGACTCAGGAGCCTGTGCAGGGACCTGGTCCCAGGGGCGAGACTGTCTCCGGTGCCCACTTGTCACGTTGGCACTACTGATGGGTTTATTCTTAGTTCAGGATCCAAAGTGCCTTATAGCCATTAATTATCCTAATGGGGGAGTGGTGACCATCAAACCCATTTTACAGATGAGAAACAGAGCCTGGGAGGAGGTAAATGACACATGAGGTGTGGGGGAGAGCTGGAGCGAGGTGATCAGTCCCTCTTTCCAATTTTAATGTGCCTTTTCTTGTGTCCTCACAGCTATGAGGCACTGGTAGGTTGAAGGCATCTCCTACTCTTTGCCAAAAAGCCACACCAAGGCTCGTGTGCTGCTGCCAGAAGAAACTGAATTGCAGAGCTCTATTCATCAGCTCCTGATGATGTCTACAAGATAACGGCAGCACCGAGACAGCGTGAAGTGGGATTGCAACAGGGAGGGAGCAGAGCATGTTCATTTTAATGAGCTTGTCCCTGCCTAAAGGAGAGAGAAAGCAAGAGGCCAACCTGGTTTAATAAACTCTAGCATGTGGGTTTAATCAGATGGATCATTGTTCCCTGGCACAGGGATGAATATATTAAAAAAAAAAGAATGATTCAAACTTTTCCCCTATTGTTTTTCATTTGTATTATGTGCCATGGTGTGATAAAGTATCCTGGGGCCAACTTGCAAGGCAATAAAAGAGACAGTGAAGGAGAGCAAGATGTTGATCCATGCGAGTTAGCACAAGCACGGTGGGGAGGGAGGCCGCTGGTGGGCAGGGCTTGAAGTGAGGAGTTGCAGCATCCTCAGCCCCACAGCAAAACCCCAGGGATGATGTGATTACGGGGTTTGACCTGCCATCAGCTCCTTTTCAGGTCTCCAGTACTGAGCCTAGACCGTTCAGTAAGGTTGCTGTCTGATGGCTAATAAGAGTTTACGTTTGATGCTAAAGCTGTCCAAGCTTGAGACCTTCATCTCACTACAGAAATGCCTGTGCACAAGCATATCCCCATGCTCCTGTCTGAGGAAGGAAAGAGGTACTCAGCCAGTTTCTGCAGGGACACCAGTTAGGGCAATGTGCTGGGGGTGTTTTGATGTGAGATAAAGCTTGCCTTCAAGGGAATGGGTGCAAGAGGACAGAGTTTCCTCTGGGCTCTTCCTTCCTCCTTACCAAGGCTCACTTCATCATTGCCTCTCCATTATACCATGTGCCAAGAGCGCTACTGCATGCAAAGCAAGGCCAGCTCTGCATTACAGGAGGGAACTGGGCCACTGCTCACTGGCTGAATGCCACATCCCTGTACCTCTGCCTGGCCCTGGGGACAGGCATTGCAAGGAGGCATGGGAAGGTGTAGATCCAGCCCAGCAAAGAGCAAAACGGGTCTGCAGGCAGCGCAGGTAGGATTACATTGCTGTTTGCCTCAGTAGTGCATGGCTCTGGACTTGGAAGTCTCTTGCTATGTGGGTGTGAATAAAGCCAGCTTAGGCAAAATAGTCTTTTGTACTAAATCCTGGGCAGACCAACTGGAGCTGTGGTCAAGGACAGACCTTAGGGGCCTCCAAGCTGCCTCCATGGAATTCACCTCCTTTGCCCTGTCCAAGCTCACTGTCCTTGACTCAGGCTTAATAACCTCCAGCGCTTGCTTTGCTTACCTTTATCTGCATGCCACCCTGGGACATGAGCAATCTGCTCTGCAAGGCTGGGTCAGGGAACCCAGATGGGTTTTAATCACTCTCCTTAATATTAAAGCCAGAGCTGTCCAGTTGCATTGGTGTATGGTGAGACAGCCTTCAGGAGGATGGACAGCCACCCTGGATGTATATGGATGGCTAAAGGCAACCAAAGGAGCTTTGGGCAGGGGACTACAGGTTCCCCTGCTGTGGAGCAAGGCTGTATCTGATGGAACCTAGGGCAGAGGTTGGGTTTGTGGTGAGAACCCAGGAATTGCTCTTGGCTTGGCCCCTACCTTACTTCAGGATGCATCGCCTCCAGAGGTGACTGCAGGCTGACGGTATTGGTTGGAGGAGGGAGAAACGGTGTTTGCTTCCTTTGGAAAGATTTATCTATGTTGTATCATTGACCCATTCATGGAAAAGTCACTTATGGCCACTTGGTATTAAACATCACACACTTTGGCTTCTAACGCACCCCCATCTCCAGTTTCATTACTTTATCCATTACTGTTCATAAACACTAATAAATAATCCTATTTTCATTCCAACCATTGTTTAAGTGGTCATTAATTGTGGTTTATGTGCTGTCTTTGTGTATTTGTGTACGATGGCTTCTTCAGGATTCCTTGATTAACTGTGATTGATTGTGCATTTTAAAATCAATTAAAAGTTTCAACACTAGAAGATAGAGTCTTCAGCAGTAATGCTTGGAGACATCGCCATTTATAATGGAGCTATTATAGTGCTGTGATCCATTAGTGTGGCATGCTGTGATCTTTATTTTGCAGACCTATGCAAGTACCTATGTACACATTAGTGTAGATGTGTTTGTGACTCTTTTGTGTGAGGTTATATAGGTGAAAGAAAGTGTATGGTACGGGAAACTGAGTCAGCTGCTCACAGGGTTGCTGGACCACATAGCGTGGGCTGGCTTTTGTGGACAGTCAGGTATCATCCACTCCCTTCCTTAAGACACAAACATGAGGGCTGAGTCCCAGCACCCCATAATTTCTTTGCTGGCATGATAGTGCTATGTATTAGTTCTCTATTTATAAATTGGAGCTGGCTGCTAATGCCCTCAGCTGAATGGGGCCACAAAGAGGGATGTTGGAACTTGATGATCTTGAGGTCCTTTCCAACCCTAACTGTTCTATGATTCTATGTGTGTCTGCATTGCTGTTATAGTGAATGTATCTGTGATAGGAGATAGGGGATATATGGGAGGAGAGAGGTGGTGGTGAAGGCATACGTTTGTGGCTGTGCGGATATCGTGTTGATAAGAGAGAGGAAGAAGAGGAGGGATAGCCATCACCTGGGCACCAGGGCGTGTGCCAGAGCATAAATCTATAATATCGATCCTGTATTAGATCAGTCCTCAGCTCCTCATGTTGATGCTGTGGAGGAAATGGGGTGAACACTGCTCTCTTCATGCTTCCTGCCCTGCCTTGCAAATCTGAATCCTGCGTGCCTATGCCTCTGTGCACAGCAGAGCATCTCTGCCCGAGCAATTTCTTCTGGTCCATGAGGACACCACAGAAGGAGACTTTGTGCTGGTGCTCTGAGGGAGAGCAAAATCCCCAAGGAACCGATGGGAAATCAGCCCCTTGTGACTGATCCCCTACTTTTCACAGCATCCTCCTGGATGTCTGCTCGCTGCGATGCAACAAGCAGGGCCCTCCCAGCCAGCTGCCAGCTTGGGCAGAGGATTCCTGCGTGCTGATCTGCTCAGAGACATTTGTCACCCACCCCTCGCTCAGCTGCATGCTGAGAAAAATGCCTCAGTGCCCCCAGTACAGCTGCTGGGATCCCCCGATAGGGAAAATCACCAGTCTTGTTAAATGATGGGGGGACCATTCTGGGTAAGCCCTGCAATGGGATCACTGTTGTATTAACTCACTCGCACTGATGTTAATGAAATAAAGAAATACAATGGTTCCAGACTTCTAAACTTCTGATGGCTCAATTTGCATAATGGCCACTGCTACCCTGAACAGGAACTGGTCTGTCTAAAGATGTTGTTCCAGTCCTCTATCATTCAGCTCAGTGGAAGTCACAGATTTGCCCACAGGGGCCGTTTTTGCTGATGGAGTAGAGTTTGTGTAGTGCCGAACATAAAAAGCTGCCTATTAGGATGCAGTCCAATATGGTAAAAAATTAATGGGTTAAAAGTTATAGATCAATAACTGTTAATGTGACTTTAGTTTTCAGACAGATCGTGTTGATTGCTGCTGATTTGAAGGCAGCAGCCATCCTGCTGGCTGAAGCAACTCCATGGTTGCTCCTCAGAGGAACCTGTGTCTCCCAGTTAAGGCTCATCTGCCCTCAACAACCTTGTGAGCTTAGTAGCCTGCATGGAGTCTCTTGTGGAGTTTGTTCCCCTCTACCCTGGACTATGAAGGTTGGTCAGGCCTGCACCTAGCACCCAGGGCAGAGTGCCAGTCCCGTATCTCACCTTCCTTCATGACCCCTCGGCATCACACTGTGGTCCCAGAGCAATGCTCTGGGAGCATCCCTGTGAGACAGATCATGTCTCATGTTCTAGGCCACTAGAACAACCCTACTTGGTACCCTAGATCGCACCTCCTTGATTACCTACATCTCTTCTCCTCCATGCCCTAGATCTCTTCTCCTTGATTATCCAGATCTCCCCTCCTTGGTGGCCTAGATTGCTGTTCATCAGTGCCCTAGATCTCTGCCTGCTGCAAAGACCACGCTCCTTCTGCAGTGCCTCCAGCTCTTTGAGAGCAACTGGATGCTTTCAACTGTGGAGAGCAGGGCCTTGGACTTGGCATATGTCTCTCCCATCTGTGAAGTGAGGTAAGAATCTTTCCCCTCTAGGGTATTTAAACACCCCTTGTGTATATTTAAACCATGCTGCCCACACAGCAGGGACTGTCTCTCTCCATCAGTGTGTTTAGGGTATGCAGACCTAAACTCTCAGCTACAATGATGGGGACAGGGGGTGTGCAGGAGCAGGGAGCCAGCTGAGTATCACAAACCAGCGTGACAATGGTCCTTATGCCCCTTTTGGTGACCTTGGGCTTGCCTCCGATAGCTCATTACAGCCTGCCTTTGATCACTTGCCTCTCCCCCGTCTGTACTTGGAAACGCTGGAGAGCTTTCCTGACCAGTATCATCAAAAAGGACACTTTTATTTCCAGAATATACAGTGTAATTAGAACTGTGAAGGGAGAGAGCAGCCAGTCCTTAAAAACACCCGTGCTGCGACAGTCTCTGTCCTGACTCTGTGGAAGCTGGGGATGAAAGACTCCTGTTTTTCAATGGGAACAGGATGGTTTCCCCAGTACTGGAAATACCACTCAGGTCCTAGCTAGAAAGGGGTTCTTCCACTGCATGAGAAGGGTTTGGTGTGAAAATACCCTCACCTGCAAACATGCTTTTGCTTTATCAGGACCCATTGCAAACATGGAGTGAATAGCTTCAACCAGCAACACAGAGACCCTCATCTAAACCATCATCATGTAAAGGCACCTTTTGATTGAATGGTAAAATATCCCACTGTTCCCCACGGTCTTGCTAACATACTCACTGAACTGGGACCATTTCCAGCTTCCCAGGCCCCTCTCCCTGTAGGCAGCAAGGCTGGTCCATAACATGGAATGGGATGAGAACGTTTGTATCCAGCTGCTGGCTGTGGACAGAGGCTGCCTAACAAACCAAGGTCCAGTTGTTTCCATCCCTGCAGCTGCCCTATGAAAACAGCTGACACCTTAAAAATTGATGGGGTTCATTTCCTGCCTCCGTGCACTTACTTGGAGCACCAGCTCTGCCATTACCAGCAATGTCCACATCAATTACTATCATAACCCGAGTACCTTTGTGTGCACTTCCTTTGCCTGGAGAGCGCAGTGACCTGCATTCCTCTCCCCTCGAGACCTTTCCCGTAACTGGGATTTTCAGCACTGCTGTCTGCAGGAGAATGAAGCTGATGCTGGGATAGCCCCAGGGGAGGAGGACAGCCCATCAGGTAGGTCTGATGGCAGTTTGTCTCTGCCCCAGGGGTTTCTTTCCCTTCCTCTCCTTGTCTCACTAAGCAGCAGCATTGGTTCTGACCCATCTCTGGGGCTTGGGCTTTTCCACACTGAGTAAAT